TTATAAGTCTCACTATCAGCCATTATTATCCTCAACACACGAACGGCGCTTTCGCTCGACAGCATAGATCAAGATTACAATAGCCAAAACTTTGTTACAGTGTAGTGCAAAAACATGGTCTGTCTTCGATGATCGAACATTCCTGAAATCCCAAGGAGAACAAAGTGTAGAGCAGTTCATGGGGAAGTGAAACAAGAGTACCATATAACAGTACAATGCAACTCAATCACGATACTAACACCTTCTTCAGGAAAATGAGACTTTCAAATGCGAGTGCGACTTCTGTCCACAGACAGGTGCACGGCGTATACCCGAGCAGGCGTTTTCCCATAAAAACGCCTTCTCTGTCAGCGGCCGTGAAGCAGACAAAGAATTTCGATGCTTTCAAATCAAATCTAAGCGAAATGTAGCGAATTTGCTGAATTGAGTTCTAGAGACCCCTTAGGAAAATTGAGGCAGAAGAAAGAATTTCAGGAAAATTTCACAGTTTTATGAAGTACTCTTCGAGTAGATTCTAACAATCTTTACCGCTTCTCATCACATTAATTTTGAAGGAAGTTATGGGCCTTTGAAGACTGCATAGTCGCGGTCCAGGAAAATGGCTTGAAAAAATCAAGGTGGAAAAAACGGAACAACGGGACTATTTTTTGAGCGAGTGATTATTTCAAAAAGTTTTAGCACTTATTCGAAAGCTCTAATCTTCTAGTTTCTAATTAGCCTTAGACATCTGCAAAAAGTTGATTATGAAGAAAGTTATGAACGTTTGAATGTCGAAAACTCGCGCCTTCTCAAAAATCGGACCACAAACCCCCAAAAACGGAACAACGGGACTATTTTTTGAGAGAAATGATCGCTGGAAAATTTTCAGGTGCTTGTTTGAAAGCTCTAATCTTCTAGTTTCTAATTAGCCTTAGACATCTGCAAAAAGTTGATTATGAAGAAAGTTATGAATGTTTGAATGTCAAAAACTCGCGTGTGCACAGAAAACGGAACAACGGGACGATTTATTGAACATTCGTAACATTTTTACACTTTTTAGGAAGAAACTATTTGAATTTTTAAAATTTTGGTGTCCGGTTCCATGAGACCGCTTCTGAAAAAAATATAACCTTCTGAATGGAGGGGTTTGGATTGTAATTGCTACAAGGTTTAGTTTTTCAGATTATAAGGTAAGGAAAATTGAGAGATCGAAAAAAACTTGGTAGGTTTCTGAAAGTAGAAATCTTTACGATTAAAATGATGTATTGGTTTACGCAAAAATTTGGAAATTCCTTCTATTTAATGAATAAAACTTCATGTTGCCTCGATTCCCTCCTCTGAGCGAGACAGAGCGCGCGGATTGACCACGGTTCTCCATGTTGGTGACTGCCCACACATCAATGATGAGCATTAAATTATGTGAAAGACATAATAGTTAATACGGGGGGGGGGTCGTACCGATACCCTCCGAAAAGGAAGGGGGTCGTAAAAATTTTGGAATTTGCGCAACGCAGGGTTGACCCTGCTTCCCACTGCGCACCACTTCTTTCCATGTTGATGGGGGCCCATACATCGATGATGGGCATAGAAATATGTAAAAGGACATAAATAGCTAATACAGGGGGGGTCGTACTGATACCCTCTAAAAAGGAGGGGGTCGTAAAAATTTTGGAATTTGCGCAACGCAGGGTTGACCCTGATGGCAAGCCCAGTACGCTGCAGCTAGCGCACCTTTGGCCACAAAAACGCAACATTTCGCTTTCCTTGGCCCCTGACTACTGCTTCCACTGGTGCATGTACTTCCACGCTGCACACACACACTTTATCGTAATCTCTCGCTTTAGTAATCTCCGGAAAGCTCTGATTTTGTATTTTTTATGCGAGTTTGGAAATGGGAAAAGTTGAGTATGAAAGAGGTTATAACAATTCAAAGCCCATAAAGTCACAAAAAAGGATCAAGATACGATTTTCTGAAGAAATGAACATTCACGAAAGTTTGAGTACTGTTAAAGAGGAAAACACAGAGTATTAAGTCTCCTTGGCATCTTACATCGGTGCTCACAATGCCATGTTTGAAGGAAACTACGACCTTTAAAAGGAAATGTGCGCTTTTCTGTGAAATCTAAATTCTGCACTTCATAAAAAAATTCAAACACTGCCCAATCTTGATAGTTTTTGAAACCGGTATCTTCATAGATTCTCTTACATATCTTCCTTACATTTTGAAAAATATAAATCTTGAGAAGACCTATTTTCAAAAGAAGATTAGTAGATCGGGCCGTACTGCCGTTCCCTTTCCAGTAGGAATAAGATTAAGCGCGCCAATGCAAAGCACGCGACGTATCCGCGTGCAAGTTGCATTAGCGCGCCATTTGATTTCATATTTTGATTTTTCTTCTTCTTTCTTGCCAATCTTTCTCGTATTTCAAGTGGATATTTCTGTTTTCGCTTTCTTTGACTGCTTCTGTCCTTCTACTTGCGTGGTCTCAGTGAGTGGAGTTTCACATGGATGGTTTTCCAACTGCGTTCTACACCCAAAACAATGTTAAGGGGGGGGGGAGGGTCGTATCGAGACTCGTCAAGAGAGGATGGGTCGCATTCTGTTGGCACCAGGCTCCTATTGGTCTTACCGTACAGACGTTCGCACGATTCTCCACAGCCCTGCAGTGCACAGCTCAGTCAGCAGAGAAGTTCAGAGACTGTTCGATATCTAATCAGAATTGTTTCCTCGTCAAGATATCGGACTCAGAAAAAAAATTATCGAGACCACGAATGACAATCATGATATAACAAGCACTACAAACCACAGATTCCAGAGATAAGTACCTCTAAGTTCAGAGAGAGCGCCATTTCAATCATCTTTTAGCTGCAAAACCTACGGCTGCCATTTCGATAGCCAAGATTCCAATTACGGGTACCTGACAGGAGGCCCGTCGCGCGACTGGAAGATAGAGGGGCAAAGGCATCAGCGGACGAGTCGCAGCGCGTACTGCAGATTTCGCGTCAAGTTAAATAGAATGTACTATAGTACGTCCACATCACACAGCACGCGCTGCGACTCGTCCGCTGACCAGTCTGCGTCTCTGCCTTCTCGCCGCGCGACGGGCCTTCTATCGGGAACCTCCTGTCACTACCACTCAGTACTAATCGAAGTGAATCGTGTGAGACCGGGTATCTGATAGCAAGGTAATATGCCTATCCGCACCAAAAACGACACCCAATGGAATGATCACTCCTCTACTTTATTGGCGACAACTTCAATTAGTAGCTAGGCTATACAACGAAACTACATAAATAAAAATGAATCTTCCTCACAGATGTAGCAACATAACAAAATAATTATTAGAACCGTAATATGGAACGATGAAAACATCGAACACCATGTCGAATAGGCACAAATGATCAACGAAAAAATGATGGTGACAATTCCTAGTGTTAAAGATGACGATGAGAACCGAGTGAAGTTAAACGAGTAAATGTGTAGAACGGTATAATGCTACCAGCCGATGAGCAAGGAACAAAATCATTGCATAAAACTCTAATGCTATACATTAGTTGCGAGATAAAACCATGAAACGATATGACAAGAAACAATTCACAAGCCATGAGTTTAAAACCTTAGAATTAGAATCGTGTCAGCATGAGAAAAACATTCCCCCTATTAGAATTTGAATAAAACACATGAAAAGCAATCAATGAGATACTAAGAGAGAAAATAGCTTACACGGATCATAATCAAGTCATCTTAACTTCAACAAGTGCCTAAGATTGAAAATCAAAATGGCCGGTACGTAGGCCGATTCCGCACCAAGCGATCATTCTTAAGGCGAACCGCAACATGGATCCAACCCATCTTCTCGCAAATCTGAATTAGGACAACATTCATCACTTGGCATACACAAAATGTTGCAGAAACAAATAAATCAACAGTGGACCAAACAAACAGTTGCCGAAATGTACACAAAAAATTATCGCGGTTCGCGCTACACAAATCAAACAGCACCCTTTGGCTGCACTGCTCCTAATATTCAGCGCAGAACACAGTGCGAGCTCTAGCCAGCAAAAAGAGAGGTGCTAACACATTGACTACAGCGCATGTATTGACTTTTCGCCGCGTGAGACATGAGCGACTTGGCGGGCGAGATTTGCCAGACACGCAGGCGCGTCGCCCTGTCCCACAGCACGCTTTTTCGGATGCAAAACTGAGAAGTAGCAAACCAGGGATACAACACTAGTCGGAGAGTAGGCTTCCGGCAAGAGGGCGGCCTCCTTGTCTGCACACTTTAAAATAGCGATTACATCGTTGTAAGACAAAGTAGTCATGAGTCAGGGAAAGTATAACGTTCTGGGATGGGGAGGGGATGGAAGGAGCAGGGTCGGGCGACTTGGATGACATGCGTGGAAAGCTGAAATGTGCATGTTGCACGATCTCGTTGAGAGGGCTCAGACGCCGTTGTTGGCTACGTCGTCGACCTTGGCCCCCTCCCCCCTCAACCCTCATAGCGTCGACCAAAACATGCTATTTCCACAATCCAACCGAGTAAGACAACCTATGTAATAGAATATATCGCAAATATGTTTAAACAACAAGAATCTTTCGTGGAAGCTCGGAAAAACAAGGGTTAACAAGCGTTGCAGTACGTAGATGCAGGAAATTTCTTCGTAACGATTATTTCAATAAAAAATGGTGCGACAGCTTGTCGATTCCAGCTTTCAGAGAGCTGATGTGGAAGTGGATGAAAGAAAAAAAGAAATGAAAATATCCCTTGACACCTTGAACTTGCTTCAGTCAACGTGTGCAGTGCAAAAACATTTCTACGACATGACCCATTCGAAGTGGCAGACCTTTCATTATGTTGGTTATGTTTACCAGCTGTTATGGCTCGTCTAGTCCAAATCACTACAACAGGACCATGTTTAAAAACCCATCATCAAGCAAGAAGGCAAAAACAGAGATATTAACCAGTAAAGCCGGTTGAGCACACGGCCAGCATTACTCGTGCGCGAAACGCTCGCCAAACGCGTGTTTGACACAAAGTCTAAACGCATACTAAGGCTGGTGTCAGAGTCCGCGATCCGTCGCGCAATCCGCGCGAATCGCGCGACGGATCACAGAAATCACAAGTGCCCCGATCAATACTGCAGGTGCTCTCCAATCCCGCCGCCATTTCTGCTTGATGGTGATGGTGAATGACGACTGTTCATGATTCTACTTGTTTCATATTCAGTGTTTCAAATGTTCAAATGACTTGCGATTTTTGCGATTCGCGCGAATCGCGCGACGGATCGCAGACTCTGACACCAGCCTTTTACTCCATAGGTAAAATACCCGTTAATACACGTAATAAAACGATTACCTCGATGATGGCTCCTTCGAATGCTGAGGCGTCTTTACCGTTTCCTCTGAGGTCATCAACTAACTTTTGTAAGCACATTGCCGCTTTTCCGAGATGATTACAAGCGACGGAATACTTCGCGACTAATAGCAACACCTTTAAAAAACGAAATTAGGATAGAGCTCTTTACAAAAAGAGGTATACCACAAAAGGTGATATTGCCTACCCTAACGGCCGTAAAATATTTACATAAAATTGGAAAATTAGGAAAGTTTCGCCATTACCTTTACATCGTCAGGCGATATCCAAGTAAGGAGGTCATGATACGCTGTCTCAACCTCTTGTAATGTATGGGTTTCACTGTCCTGGAATGCCTCAAATGTCAATAATATGTACTACTACGCGTTAA